TGAAATATTGTGGAGGTCAGGATTTGTTGGAGGGTTAATAGTGTGAAATGAGAAGGGTGGTGGGTATTGTATAAAGGGTGGATGGCTGATGACGACAGTAAAAATTTCAAAAATAAAACTCGATGAAAAGTGATAATAATAAAAAATTCTATTATTTAAAAATAAATAACGGCTATTACTAGATTATATGTACTTACAGTTAATGAAAATATGAATTATGATGGTTAAAATTTCATTAAAGACACTGTAGTTTTCTTCAATATGCAGTGGACGTGAAAGGTACATGTACTGAACAAAAATTTTCATTAGTATTTTTGAATCAATATCTGTTAAGGTTGATTTAAAAAAGCGGTGTAAGAGGATTCAACAGTGTTATTGGGTTCGTCCACGTACAAGCGGTGAGGAAGTTAAATTGGGTCATTCAATAAAGACATACTCTATAAGCGTCTATCATCCAAAGTGAACAGGGGAAAAGTTTCCACTGACTCCAGATGTAATATTTTTATTCGGAGCAGTAAACACGCTCGAGGCAAAGAGAGCCTAAAAAGTAGAATACGTCTAAAAAAAGACATAAGGTTAAATTGTGGTATATTTAAATACACTGCTGCAGCACGTGCTTTTTATCTTAGGCTACGTGAAATATGATATTATAGACTAAAATAGATAATTATATATGAAAGATATATGCAGAACGAAAAATGGACCTCATTTGTCTGTATTCTGAATAAGGATAAAAATGAATAATTAACAAGAAAGTCAAGAATGTTCTTATCTGGCAGTTCAGTTCTAATCTTGTGCGGTCTCTTTGTTTTTCAGTGCTGAAACCTTGTATTTATTTGCTTCTGGGTTTCAAACAGCAAACAAAAGGCCAAAAGCCAATAGCGAAACGGATATGAAAAGTGAAAATTGAAGTAGAAGTCACTGGTTTGGCTATTCTCGATGTATCTTTTAACTTTATGAGGCTTTTGATTGTGATGTCATAAATCCCTGTGTTGTGCGTTTACGCTGTACTGATCAAGTGTTCGCACAGCCGAAAAATGAAACTCTAAACGAAATTTGGTTAAAAATGATCAAGGATTTATAATAAAAAAATGGTTTAATAATGTAAGAATCAAATAAATAAAGATTATGTTCAGATCGGATTATGAATTTAAGTGCGTATTTTGTCAAGTGTCTCTTTTCTGTGTATATCACCAGTGTGTCTATTGTCGTTGAGAGGCCGGATCGCGGCGAAAGGCGACGGACGACCTGTAGGCACAAGGGGAGGGACGAGAAAAAACAGGAAGCGGCGCCGGAACGGGGTTGACCCAGGGTGGGAAGGGCGGCCGGAGCACGCCCCACCCGGCGCGAGGCGGCCAGGCAGGCACCACACCCCACAACCGTGTCATCTTCATTCTAACGGCAGGTTTTATCGATTAACATTCATGATAACCAGGTAAGCTTACGAAAACGTATTGATAGTAGGTTAGAAAGTAGCATAAAAGTAACAAATACGATGTGATTACAGGTAAAATAAAAAATAATTAAAAAAAAAGCTGAAAAGGTAATAGAAAAATAAAGTAGTATCTAGTTCAAAGGAAAGAAGAAAAGGAAATTAAGGACAAGCAAGATAAAAATAGAGGTTAAGATTTAAAATATTTTTACAGATAATTGCACTTGGCACTTACAGAATAAACTTTTATAAGTTCAAAGAACATTATTCGTAATACAAAATATTGAAAAAAGTTAAATACCCATGCTTTATGTTTAGATCTATATAGTCTTTTAAGCAGTTGGAGCCCTGTCCCGACTAAATATTAGAAAAGGAAAGAAAAATTTCTGTCATTTCTGTCTGGGTTATTGATAAAAAATGGTCTGCTTATATGGATACCTCCGTCACTTTATTTAAAAGCAAAAACACCAACAAAGTCGAATCGTCTAGTATTAGGGTAGAAGGTGTTATTAAGAATAAGTGTAAAACTTTCTATAGCTACAGCAGAAAAAAGAATGAAAAAACAAGTTTAAGACTAGAGTTAAGGTAAAAATATGATCGGAGCTGGTTCCTAGCGTTAACTTTTTTAATTTTATTTGTTGGGAAAGTCTATGAGTTCTGGTAAATGTACGTTAATTACTGATCATTTACTTAAGGAAAGGAACAAACGGAGATGGGAAGCTATGAGAGTATTTTAAATCGTGTATGAGTGCAAACAAAGTACTATCTGACGTTATGTAGGTAAGAAAAGCTAGAAGGGCCGCACCGGTGGTGATAATTGGGACGATGTACATCTGAACTCTGTTGTCACATGTGGAATTGACAGCTATTAAACTGATGAGTAAGAGGAGAAGAGTCCCCGAAACGAAAATGGAGATAGGAAGATACAGGTTCTAAATAAGGAAGTTATTTATTTAAAATATAAGGTCATGTGTTGTCTGCGAGAGATGCGAGATCATACTCTCTGATTAAACTGTATTGTCCTGATGTCGATGTGTGTAGTTTAGCAGTATATTTACAGAAATTAAAGTGTTAATACGATGGTCAAATGAACAGGACAAGAACCGTTTAGAGGCAAAGGAACACCAAAATGATAAACAATGAGGAGTGTCATTACATCTATAGTTAGATCACCAGTTAGGGGCTCCTCGCTTCAGAGTACAGATTGAACAGAGTGAGTAGTTGGTTTTAGAAACAAATGATTACGTTTGCGGCTGTTGATGTGAGATTGATAGTCGTAACAGGAGACGTATGCGCTTAAAAGATAAGAAGTTGCAAAAAAGAAAGAAGGTAAAAAGTAATGCAATAAACTGTAGCACTCTGTAATAACAGTAACTATTGATTGTACTTCTTGTATTCGCATGAACCAGAGCGCTGAAAGCATTGTTGGTTGTTGTTTTTTGTTTTTTATATCGGTCTCAAATTACTCGTAATAACCTTTATCTAATATAAATAAAATGTGTGTTTTGATTTGAAAATAGAAGTAGTAATGAGCAAGAGTAAAGAAGTTTTTGAAGTTAATAAAAGAAAACAATACCGAAAGGTCTGTGTACGGCTTGACAGTGTTACGCACACTCTACCATGGCCGAGTCAAGACAGCGAAGTGAACGAGGAAAACCTATATAGTCAATATAATGTTTACTTTGTCATAGGGGGTTTTACAGGAAATACTCGTTTTTACCCTCGACTGATTTACAGAGCGTATTAATGTTCATCAATTTCAGCAGGGAATGATGATTTAATGGTTACTCTACTTTTATTTGGCTTTAAATTAATTTCAATGACATTTTTTAATGTGAATGGGAATAAGTATTTTTATTGATAGTTAAAGTTTCAAGTTATGTCAATTCACTTCAGGGTATTTTATGTTTAAAATAACTAAAGACCTCCAGCATTTATTACCTTTGAGTAGTTTAAAGACCGGGTATCAAATAAAGGGTGAAGATCTACTGAGGTTATACACAGAAAAAGGCAAATGATAAAAGAAAAGAAGATGAGGAAAGGAAATGAAAATGAAAGAGATAAATAAATAAAAATAGAAAATAATAATTCATGATAGTTTGACATTTAGTTAAAAAAGTTGTATTTGTTATTATGAAATTGTCTTAAACACTCTGGTATAATCTTCATTGTTGACCTGTCTGCACAAAAGGCCAAGTCGAATGCTATGTGCATACCATAACAAAGGGAAATTGACCATGAAATTAACGACGGATTTTAATGAGAAGTAAGATAAAAACAAGAACAGGATGATGATGATGATGATTATCTGGGCTCAGAAGTGGCAGCGAGACACAACAAGGTGCGACAAAAGAGTTAAAATGTGAAAATGAAGAAACTGGAATGTAAAATGATCACTTTAATATAGGTACTGTTGAGGAGGTGGTTGGAAAGGGATTGTGACAATTTTTTTCGGGTTGGATATACCTGAATCATGTAGTTCAGTAAAACAGAAAGATTACTTGTCGGGACTATATCTTGTGGGTTTGACTGAATTATTTGATGGAAGAGGTGTATGGAAAATTAGTATCAGTTATCAAGAGGAGGTAAAAGGAGTTCGTGGAAGATACACGAATACTGTACAAGCGAGCTATCTTAGTTCAAGGTTAGAGTATGTATGTTTAAGGGTGTTAGTGGGTTCCAAATGAAGAAAACACAGACGGCCTTATTTACGATTGCCGAATCCTGAAAATGGTGTAACTTTATGTAATGAAAGAAGTAAAGGGAAGAGCTTGTTGGAGATAACAAAGTGTACTGTAATGGTTTACGAGGAGTGATAAAAAATATGAAGATGTTGCTGTTTATAAAATAACTCGTAAACAATCTTATAAGTACATGTATCTCCACGACAACCATCAACTTCTACCTGAGAGTGAAAGTACTGATATTGAAGAAAATATACTTAAAAGGAGTGAAATTTGGAATGATAGAGGCATCGGTTTGGATGTTGAGGAACAGGTTAATACATATAAGTTAGTAATAAGTGAATTATTTCATTTGGAACAAAAAAGGGGGAGAAGGTGTCGAGAGTCAGTATGAAAAAATCTCTTAGATGGCGAGAGATATCATGTGTACAAGAACATAAACAATGACTCATGTAGAAAAAATGGAAGGGAAACCAGGTTCACTAAAGTCGGGAAAACATTGTTAATCCAAATAATAAGTATTTTTGGATTCTAAAGCAGCTCCATATAGTTTAAGTATCGAATGGCTCAAAGAATTAAATTGTTGAAAAAAATTGAAAGGGGTATAACTGTGATGATCTATGAATGAAAAAAAGACGAAGACAGGGGTTTAAAAAGGAAATAGAATATCCATGGAGGAAAAGAAGGAAGGACTAGGACCCGATTTTGATTTATTTGAATTTTGAATAGACCAAGCACAAACACGGTGAAATTCTAAGCGTAAAAACCCAAGCCAAAGAGAGGAGTTGAGGACTCAGATACTGCCTTTGAGATTAAGACAAATGGAAAGTGAAAACACCAGGCAGATTCAGATTCTGA